TACCTATCTTGTAAATATGTTAAATTATTGTTCATTATTTATTAGTTTTTTGTCCTTTGATGTTTTTAAATTAATATTTTTCTATTTTAATATTAAGTTAATTAAAAAAATTTTCATGTTAATCAGATTATAATAAATTTTTAAAATAATTGTGCGTGTATATTAAAAATAAAATTACTTTTCAAAATGTTTTTTTATTATTAAAATGAATATAAATAAAAAAAATATTTATACTATTTAAAAAGTCATATTATCAATTTAAATTTTTTAAATAGCTTCTCCTATATATTTTTTTAATAATATTACATGCTTATTATTAAAATTATTAGTAAAAGTAATTCCTTTTTATTAATAAAAAAGCTAAAGGGTATGCAGAAATTATTATCTATCCATGTTCATTGCATTGTAAATTATAATAGTAATACATAGTGTATTATTTTTTTTATTTTTTTAAATTTTTGTTATTATTTTTGTTATAATATTTTTTATTTATTTTTTTAATATTGATGTAATTAAAAATTAAGTTTTATAATTTATTTCTTTTTATTTTTTCTTTTTACAGAGTTAAAATGGTTCATCTATTTGTTAAAGTAACCTAAGTTATTCCGGTTTATAAATTTGGTGGGATTTTTTTTTAATTGAACTTGACTTTATTATCGTTAATTCCTTATAGTTAAAAATAATATTTAAAAAAAAATCATTATATATAAAGCTAAAACGTATGAGGAAAGTAGTATAACTTTCCTCGCATGTTATTGTGAAATGCTATAATAATTTTTTATTATTTTCTTAAATTACCTTTATCAATTTTGTTTTTTTAATATTAAACTGGTTAAAAAATTATCCTTGTATTTTTTTTAAATATTGTGGATTGGTATTATATTTTTTCATTTGATTTTTCTATTTTATTATACGTAAAACTAAACTATGTAGGGAAAGTACTTTAGCTTTTCTCATAAGTTAATACTGATTGCTACAATATTTTTTTTTCAACAATGCTTTTTTTTTTCTCTCTTTAAAATTATTTTTGTTAATTTTATTTTTTTAATATTAAGTTAGTTCAAAATTTAATTTTGTAATTTTTTCTTTTAAAATATCGTGAATTGCTATGATATTTTCCCATATGGTTTTTTATTTTATTGTTATTTTTTTATTTTTTAAAATTATATTTGTTGATTTTATTTTTTTAATATTGAACTGATTTAAAATTTAATTTTGTAATATTTTTCTTTAAAATATTATGGATTGCTACGGTGTTTCTCCATATGATTTTTTTATATTTTTTTATGATTTTTTTTATATTATCTTTGTCAATTTTATTTTTTAATATTATGTTGATTAAAAATTATAGTTATAATATATGGGGAAATCATTGTAGCTTTTTTTGCAAATTACTATGGATTGCTACAATATTTTTTTCCACATATTTTTTTTTATATTTTTTCTAAAATTATCTTTGTTAATTTTATTTTTTAAATATTAAGTTGGTTAAGAATTATAATTACAAGTAAATATAAGTAAGGCTAAATCACTATGGATTGATATAATTTTTCGTCACATGATTTTTTTCTACTTTCTTTTATATTTTGTTTCTTTTGTAATATTTTGTTTCTAAAATAATCTTTATCATTTTTTTTAATATTGAATTAGTTAGAATTTAACTTTGTAATAAAGCTTAATCATGTAGGGAAAGTATAATAGTTTTTCTCATAAAATACTATGGATTGCTACAATATCTTCTCACATGGTTTTTTTTCTTATGATTTTTTCAAAATTATCTTTATCAATTTTATTTTTTTAATATTGAGTTAGTTAAAAATTATAATTACAAGTAATTATAAATAAAAATAAATAATATGGGGAAGCATTGTAGCTTTAATGTGAATTGCTAATGTGTTTCTAGCATGATTTTTTTCTCTTTTTTTCCCATTTTTTGTGTTATATTTTTTTTCTAAAATTGCCTCTATCGATTTTATCTTTTTTAATATTGAGAATTTAACATTGTAATTTTTTTCTTTAAAACATTATGAATTACTATAGTGTTTTCTCATATGATTTTTAATGATTTTTTCCAAACTTATTTTTATTATTTTTATTTTTTTGAATATTGAGTTGGTTAAAAATTATAATTACAATAAAGTTAAATCATATAGGAAAAACATTATAGTGTTTCTCATAAAATACTATGAATTGCAACAATATTTCTCTAAAAGGTTTTTATTATGATTTTTTTAGAAATTATTTTTGTTTATTTTATTGGGGAAAACGCTGTAGTTTTTCTCCTAAACATTGCCAATTGCTACAATTTTTTTCCATGAGTTTTTTTCTTTTAAAATTTTCTTTGTTGATTTTTTTTAATATTAAACTGATAGAAAATTTAGCTTTTATTTTTTTTTGCTTTTATTAATAAAAAAACTAAACCATGTGAGGAAAATACTATATTTTTTTAAAAAAATATTATGAATTGTTACAAATAATTTTGTTTAATCTCTAAATTTTTAATTACCAATACAATTTTTGTTTCATCATAAAATATTATTTTTATCATATTTTTAATTTTTATTACTTATCTAAGACAGATTCATAATCATAATACTATCAAATTTTTTTTTAATAAACCTGCAACAGCATGCGTGCATACCATCTTTTCTGAACTGAAATATGTAAACATATTCCTTGAGAAATAGAGTGCTTCAATTAAATATAGTAAATAATAATTGGTTAGTTGATTTCCCTTACCTGAAAAGGTCTGTTTAACTCACCCTGTTATAATTTTCATTGTTGGTAGTGTGAATGCTGCTATCTCTTCTGTGGTTTCAATCCTAGATCAGTTTTATTTGTTATCTAATCTTATATTTAATCCTTCAAAATGCGAACCTTTTTGTTCTGGTGTAAGAATGGAAGATGCAGCCCAAATTCAGAATATTTATGGGTTTAAATGGGAAAACTGCCTGTCAAGTACCTAGGGGTCCTCTAATATCAGGAAAGCTCACAATACATGATTGCATGCCTTTATTGGATAAAATCTCTAGTAGAATTCAGCACTGGGCAACAAAACTCTTATTCTTTGCAGGAAGACAACAACTAGTATCATCAGTGATCGTTAGTCTTCAAAATTACTGGTGTACCATTTTTATTCTTCCATCTCAAGTGATAAAATCTACTGAGAGTAAATGCAATAGCTTGCTCTGGAAAGGAAATGATACATCTGCTGTAGGTGCAAAAGTTGCTTGAGAATTAGGTACATTGCCAAAACAGGGAGGAGGCCTTGGAATTAAAAAGTTGAAAGAGTGGAGTTGTGCTTGTGCAATGAGAAATCTATGGTGTCTCCCTCTAAAATCTGGTTCATTATGGGCTGAGTGTTGGGAATATTTAATTAAGAATAGGAGTTTATGGAGCTTCAATGTCCCAAATGACTGCACCTGGAACTGGAGGAAGATGCCGAAACTTCGAAATATGATGTGGGATTCTGTTGATTACTCTATTGGCACTTGGAAGCTCACCTTGTAAGCAATCTGATTAAGACATATGGGCAGGAAATTACTGTTGGAACTGGACTCCCTTTAAATGCTACTGTTGCAAATGTGATTAGAGGTGATTGCTGGGTTTGGCCTCCTTCAAGGTCAAAACTAATGTCTGATATTCATAGTGCCATCTGTGGTACTATTTTTCCAAGTCAAGATGTTGAGGATTGCATGACATGCAGAGAAGCTGTTGATGGAGGATTTTCATGTCAAAGTGCCTGAATCTTCTGAGAAAGAAAAGAAATAATGTTGCTTGGCATAAGCTCCTTTGGGGACCATTGCCTGTTCCCAGATGTAGCTCTCTCTATCTTGAACAGTTTATCCACCAAATCAAGCAGCTGAAACGAGGAAGGAATATAGACACAACTTTCTCTCTATTTCAACAAGCTCCAGAAGATAGGGATCACTTATTCTTCTCTTGTAGTTTCACCAAGAAAATATGGCAGTGTATTTTAAAGAAAAGTGGAATTTGCAGGCTGGAGATCGGCAGGAAGAGGTGGATATATTGTGCCATTTCTTTTCTACAGAAGAAATGCATTCTTTCTGTCCTGCTAAGATTTCTCTGGTGCTCCTGCGTTTATCAAATTTGGAAAGAAAGGGACATGAGAGAGCATGGTTTTGATGGGACTGTTGCCAGTGTCATTGTGCATAGAATTTCCAGCTTTGATAAACTTAGACTTTACAAGACAAAGATCTACAGGAAGCTATCGTAAATCTCAAATATGATGGCTCTATGCAGGAGCTGGAACTTTCAGTAGCTTGCTTTTGATCGTATTGTGGTGTTTGTATATCCTTCAGCAATTTGTTTTTTGCTGTATTGTGGAGTTTGTATATCGTACAAGCCTTGAAAGCAATCTGCTTTGGTTGATTATAATTAATGAAAATTCATTTATTAAAAAAAATAATCCACTCATCCATTCTTTGATTAAGTTTTTCAACATATAGCTACAATTTTAATTGTTTTTTTTTCGGAACTAGACATGATGGAGCTCGTGTAACTACTATTATATTTTAAATATCTTTTTATATGTGTGAATTAAAAAATTAAATTATAAAAATAATTTATAAATTTTTATGTTATTGTAGTTTATTCTACTATTTTAAAATTTCACCTTAGATAGGTTAACTTGACTCAAAATTTAGATCAACTAAAAATAAATAACTTGATTTAATATAGTCAGATTGATCTAAAATTAGTGATATTATTTTAATTTTTTATAAAAAAATTAAGTTTACTCAAATTAAATTATATCAATTTATCTTGTTAAATGATATTTATTTATGCTAAATCTTGAATTAAATTTAAAAACTATAATTTATTTATGAAAGTTTATTAATTTATATGTTATAATTCTTTAGAATGTGAATATTTGTGATTTTCAATGATAATTGTTTTTTTTTAAAAAAAAAACAACCTTAGTATTCTAAATTGAAGGCGACACACACAAAAGTCATCCCGTTTCGGATTCATATCCATACGATGACAACAAATCAACATGAAAATTAAGGGACTGATTTGAAAATTATGGAAAGTAAAGGGGTACTAAAACCAAAATATTCAGACAAAACAAGAACCAGGGGTTTAGGGTTTTGTATCCTCTGTATCTCCCTCCCTCCCTTTCTCTGTTTTTATTGACAAGTAAAACTGAACATTACAAAACAATGCCGCGAACTACGACACTAGAGTGCCCAGGTTGCCCTCCACTTCGAGCTCTAACTTTTGATTCTCTAGGTCTTATCAAAGGTAAATACGTTATCAATTCTCTTTAACAACCCAATGAAGCAAATCGCTGTTTGCGTTTCTTATTGTTTTGATATTTGGTTTTGATTGTAGTGATTGAGTCTCGTGGCGAAAGAGGAACACCTCAGGTTGTAGAGAGATGGGGTGATCCTGTTTCCTCCAAATGCGTGCTTGCTGCTTCCTTTGATGACCGTAAAAAAGACCCTGTATGCGTTGCTCTTCCTTTCTTTCTTTCTCTATTACTTTTTTGATCTGAAACTTGTAAATCTATTCCATTTTATACGTTTTGATTTCTGGGTTTTTCTTTTCTTTTTCTTTTTTCGCGGAGTTAATGTGTCATAGACTCATAGCCGTGCTTGTAATACATATGTGGTGGACATACTGATGTTGCATGCATTTATTAAACGTGGTATAAAAACTGTCTTACTAGGGTGTAATTTTGTTTCTTGCAGTTACTGGCTGTTGCAAGAAAAAATAGAGTGGTGAGTTAATTGTATTACATTCTGAATGTTGACGATGGAGTGCAGTTTAGTTTTTGGTTCTTGATGGTAGTTCTGGTGTCACTTGGGCGTTGCTTAGTTATGCTAAAGTTAATGTAATACAGGTTGAAGTAGTCAACCCGCTTAATGGGGAAATTCATGTCATGTTATCTAATGTTGGTGAGGATGGTGTTCAACCTGAAGATGATGCTATTTCTGGTTTGCATTTATTCAGGAGAAAGAGGTCATCTGGGTAAGCTCTACACTTTCTTTTTCAGAGTAATAATTTGAAGTTTATGGTTATTTCTACTTATGACTACCAGCAGTTACCGAGCTTCATTGTGTTGGTTATGTGTAGTTCATGTACTTTGCTTACATGTACATCAAAAGGAAATGCAAGCATGAGGTCTATTGGGATTGATAAATCGACTGATGATAGTGCCAATATTAGTGTAACAAAGACATGGAAACTTTGTGGTTCTGGTAATGTCTTATGTTCTAAAGTGGATGGAAGTGAAAACTATGCGGTGTTTGGAGGGTGAGTACACCCATCTGTGTGACCATACCATATAGGATTTAGACTTGGAAACTTATGTTCACTAGTGGCATGATGGCTTTTTTGTTTTCCAAAGCAGGAAAGGTGTTGAAGTTAATCTATGGGACCTTGAGAATTCTACTAAAATTTGGACTGCCAAACCTGTGAGCCATATTACTAGTTAACTATTCTAAATCAAGATGAAAAAGTATTTTTCTATTTACAAGTAATTTTGTACTTGGCCTTAGGTCAATTTCATTTATTTTTGCTTTGTGCAGCCTCCTAAAAATAGCCTTGGGATATTTACCCCTACTTGGTTTACATGCACGACATTCCTGAGTAATGATGATCACCATAAATTTGTGGCTGGCACCAATAGTCATCAGGTAATCCTTCCATAGAAAATACTCTCATGGGAAAATTTATTGCAGCATGGAAGAGTTTGTAGTTAAGTATTTTATCTAGATATCCACAATGCACACCTAGTAGCTGCTCCAGGAAAATGCTTGCTTCTAAAATAGTCAATACCCATCCTCTCTTTTGTTTGCAACTTTGCATGCTTATGTGGAACCAGTGTTGGTTGTTGGCTGTGATTACTGCAAAAAATGGTTATATAGTTAGAAATGGAGTGGTTATATAGTTAGAAATGGAGTGGTTTAGAAATAGTAAATGGAGTGGTTATATAGTTAGAAATGGAGTGGTTATATAGTTAGAAATGGAGTGGTTATATAGTTAGAAATGGAGTGGTTTAGAAATAGTCAACTTTGCATGCTTATGTGGAACCAGTGTTTGCAACTTTGCATGCTTATGTGGAAAAAATGGTTTCTGTTTTTCCAGAATCATATGACGTGGAATTGCAGTCGCACATAATCACAGACATTTGCTAACAGCTGAAGAGGTTTCTAGATGGCCTTAAATCTATATAACTTGATAATTTCTGTTTACCTAACAGGTCCATTTGTATGATATTTCTGCTCAGCGCAGACCTGTTCTATCATTTGATTTCAGAGAGACTGCTATTAAGGCTGTTACTGAAGATCAAGATGGCCATACTATATATATAGGAAATGGATCCGGTGACCTAGCTTCATTCGACATGCGAACTGGTATATGCAATAAATACTTTACACTTTAATTCCTGTTTAATTTTGCTCTGCATTCTGCATGTAATTGGAATATAAAAATATCACTTGAGTAGGTATTAGCTCTTTTAAGATAATTCTATAGTTTCTTGTGAATGGACCAAATTTCTTTTCAGATGAAATATGTATTTTGTTTACTGGTGGCAATGATTTTTTGGTGTAGTCCAGTTTTTGAATTTGTAAATCAAGGATCTAAATAGGAGGTTGGCACTTCAATAAGGGCTGCAATTCAAATAATTTGATCTGACTTAGCAACAAAGTGAGTAAGGCCTTTGCAATGGACTGTGTTTGCCTGACCTTAAGCTTTGCAATGTGTCTGTGTTGGAGTCAGTGGCCTGAAGTAGGCTTAGAGAGATAAATTTACAATTATCTTAGTGTGATAAATTTACAGTTATTTTTTTGCGTTGTCCCATCCTTTTTACTTCTATGAAACACATATGGATCAAATGGTCAGAGGATAAGTATATAAGTTAAGATTTAGAATCTGACTTGCCCTTCCCAGCATTGTGGAAATTATTTTTGAACTGAGCAGTGTGGAAATTATGGTATTTAATGGAGTTATTTTTAGTGATATGTTAGCTGGGAATGTTTTCTTTATTGAACTCATACATAACTTGGCATTTCCTCATGAAATGTGGAAATCTGACTCTAGACACTATGTAGTTCATACAAACTGGCATTTTTTAAATCAAGTTTCTGCTGCATATAGCAAGAGAATTTTCTGTTAGGTTAATATTTAAGCTTCTTGTGTGTTGGTTCCATCTGTTTGTTTGGAGGGTTTTACAGCTGTCTTTACCATGTTTGCTTGCATAACAATCACACATAAGGAGGATAGATAATCATGCTTAGATCTATAGTTGATGATTTTGTACAGATATTTTATTTACTTTCAAAAATGAGGAACCTCTGAATGAACACCATAATATGGTTCTTTTATATAATTATTCTTAATATAATCTGAAAGTATCAGTGGAATTCCATCTTAGACCAGTTTGCTCAGCACCTTCAAATGGCTCCGCGATGTATCATAATCAAATCAAGCAGTCTTGAACCATTTCATGAGTTGTATATTGCACTATTTTTGGCTAATGACTAATTAGGAACCGGGGCTAACCCAGGAGTATGCAGGTCCTCCATCCTGTATACAGCAGTCAAATGATCAGGCTGTCACAATTTATTATTTTAGTATGTTCACTTGTCTTCTTATGGCTGAAATCCTCTAATCAGATCATCTTAGTCTATGTTTTTATACATCTGTATACAATGTCAACTATTTAGTTGTTGTGAATTGGGCTAAATTGTGTTGCTTGGCAATCCAATATCAGTGCCCACCTGCTGCTCCTGTCCTTGATTATTTTATCTTCTGAATGTTCTCTTCTTCCCTATAATTCTTTTAACATTGGATCTATCTTTTTCTTCCAGGAAAGCTGTTAGGATGTTTTATAGGGAAGTGTTCTGGAAGTATTAGATCCATTGCCAGGCACCCAGAGCTCCCTGTGATAGCATCATGCGGTGAGTATATAGAACAATTTTGCATTATCTTTGTCAGACATATATTTGACTTGGTTTTCTCTGCCATTAAATTAGCACCTTCCTAGTTCTGGGGCCAAAATGTTTTCTTGACTTATTGCTTTTTTTTATCTTAGGTTTGGATAGTTATTTGCGGTTGTGGGATACAAAGACTCGTCAACTTCTTTCAGCGGTATTTTCTTGAACTTCATTTCTGTGAAGATATCGAGTCCAATTTACTTTGCACTTCTTTATTTATTTATTTCCTTTTTTCAACTTGGAACGACATTATATTAGACTTAATACTGGTTTTTTCAATTTCTTCTTATCTCAGTGTCGTTCCTAATGGTGGAACTACAGAAGTTGGAAATATTCCAATGACACTGAGGAGAAGAGTGTTGCTTACAGCTTAATTTGTTATAAATACTTGATTTATTACTGATTAATATTGCTGTAGTTATGCAATATTATCTTTTTTTCAATACCTCACTGGGAATCAGGGTACTTTTTTTCAACCTAATAACTTACAATACATGAATGCTCTAATTGGAGTTGACTTGTCAGTTTTTCATGTCTCTTTAACATTTTATCAACTGACATGATGTCATCACAACTACTGTTAGTTGATTGAATGTTCTATAAAGTGAGTTTCATTAGATGAAAGTTGAAACTCCCTTGTATGCTGAAATGATGCTTTGGGGTATTTGGTTCAAAAATCAATCCTGCCAGTGTAAGATTGCTTGTGGTGCTTTCATAAGCTTTGATGTCTGGGTGATGGAGATTTATTTTTGAATGAGCATGTGGGAATCATGATAATATATTTTGTGGATATTCCAGTCATTTAATCAAACTATAATTATGCGGTGCAGGTTTTCTTGAAGCAGCACCTTACAAATGTTGTTTTTGATTCAAACTTTGTTTACAAAGGTTGGTTTTCCCTTTCTTTGCACAGCTTCGGGTAGTATTTTTTTTATGCCGCCCCATAGTACTTGAATATCAAGACCCTCGGCAAACTAGAGTGTTTGGACAAAAACTTTTCTGGATGGTAACTGGGATAAGGGATAAATTATTGGCCCAAAATAATTATATGTGTTGATGGCATTCATTTTCTTCCAGCAGTTTTAGGTTTTCACATATGGTGCTGGTCGAAATTCTGGGAATGCCATTAAGATGAGCTTCTTGATACTCGAGAGAGTCTCTAGGAATATGATAAGCTTTTTCTCGATGGTCATTTGGGACCCTTGTTGCTAAGAGATCACAGTTCTCCCTTGGAGATGATGGATGGATACTTGAAACGAGTATGCCGTTTAAACTAGATTGATCCCAACATCAGGCTAGAGCTTTGTCTTTCTAATAGTGCTATGATATGTTTTTCCTTATTGCTAAAAGCTAACATCAGGTTAGAGCTGTCTGCATCAATGATTTTTCTTGTGTAGATTTTCTATTGATTATCACCGTCCCTATTGTGCTTGCAGAAGTTGCAGCAACAGCACGGAATGCCAATGGGATCCAAACTACCGAGGTCCAAACTGAAGATGAGATGGGAACATTGCCTGTAAAAAGAAAGAAGGCATCCAAGGGAAAAAGGGAGAAAAAGAAGAAATCTGAAGAAAGGAAAGAAACTATCGTGGTAGAATCCAAGAAAAAAAGCCAGAAGCACAAAAGAGAGATTTGTGATGACTCCTGAGATTAGCATAAAGAGCTCTTATTTTATGTTTAGGGAATGTTTGAGATTGCAGTTGTGCTGTTTTTCTTATTTGTTTTAGCTTTAAATTAGTTAAAAAATGAATCTTTTTAATGTATTGATGTGAAAAATATAAATGTTTTTTTTTAAATTAATATATATTTAAATAAAATACACTTTAAAAAATAATTATGATTCACATTCTCAACATGACACTTGAAAAAGACTGGCAGCAGCATATAGCAGGCTGCATGGCATCTCACGAGTGAAATGGCAAAACAAAACCCTTGTAATCTTTGCTCGAGACTTCTATTGTATGAATTCTCACTCATTATTCTTTATGTAGAGGATTCGTTATGATTAATTAATTTTTTGCACTTTTATTTTCCCAAACCATTGCACTTTGTATATATATATATATAAAAGAATAATTGAAAATATATTTGTGGTTACTTTATAAAATATTTTTTAGTTAAAAATATATCAAAATAATACTTTTTTATTTTAAAAAATTATTTTTTACTTCTATACATCAAAATAATCTAAAAATATAAAAAAATTAATTAAAAAATAATAAAAGCTAGTTTTGAAAAAAAAAACCTTCATAAAAAACATAATAACTACTAGATGGTAATATCTTGAGCAAAGTGCTTCATCGGCAGGAATAGATCATGGCTGGTTCCGGGATATGAGTTACACTATTTCCACAGTGAATAAACGATGAAACAAAAACAGGCAAGGGGTAGAACCCGATAGGTCCAAGAATATATTGCTCCACCGGAGATATCACCGGGTTAAAATCTTTCAAAATGTTCAATTGCTGGAACTACATAGATCCAGAGTGAGATAACCTTGCTAATTAACGGTTTAGCACTTGTAAATGATTTGTGAACGTGATTTTATTATCCCTCCCAACCAGTGCATCATAGACAACAGGACAAATCTACACCACGGCTTGTGGGGTAAAAACCAATGAAGAGAAACAAGATGCTGCATTATTATACGTGTTGAGCTCAGATGAAAGTTGATCCAAAGGATTGTAAATAACAAATTCCATGATTTTTCTGCAGAAATCACAATAAAAACAACTGGAAACGGGGCAGTAAAAGCACTTGCATCAAGTTACTGAGATTTAGCTTCCTCCTTTTTCTCCGGTGACAAGTACCTAAGCAAAGGACAAAAAAAAATTGACTAAGCAGATGAACTAACCACTGGTAGTGGAATATTCAAAGTGTTATTGCATCATCTGATGTTAATTTAAGAAAATCTTTTCTTTAAATAAAAATACTATCAACTGTTTGAAGTGATAATCAATGTCTGATGGACTAGCAACTGTCTTGGCTAATTCTTGGACACAGATTTTGAATCCACTTCTTGAAAAAATGGTAAGGCCAGAAGAAAGGGAAAAAAAAATTACTTTCCTAAATCTTCCAACAACTTTCCACCAGACCATAATGATGGAATAGTTTTCGTTTTTTCTAACATTGTTCCAAGCAACCACAACAGAGGAATACATATTGCAATTAAGAACAGATTAATTCAACACAAATCACAAGTGAAGTTACTCACCCCTGACCCCTTGCCCACCGAGAGAGTTGATAGAGCTGCACAGTCTCGTTTGAAGCATGGCATGCTAGAAGTAGATAGTTACGAGGCTGTACCATCCATGCAAACCTCATGAACAATGCTGAATACACACACATAGCTGGAGCAACAATACAAAGATCAGAACCTCAGCCATCAGCACTAGAAATCAAACAAAATCAACATCAGGATTTGTTTTACCTCCTGTCATATTTCCAGAAATCATTTCTGGGGGTTTTTTCATATCCACTAACCCCTGTTGAATAGATTAGATACGATCACAATAAGTCACAGAGCATGAAATTAAAATCATGCAGCAACACAGCATATAAAAAAGAAATATACATACAATCCAAACTGAAATAAATTAGTAGAACATACAGCAACAACGAACCCCCAGTTGGCAACAGGTCCCCAAAAGTGAGATGTCTTGGGACCAACAGGACTGTTCAAAAATGCTCTGAAGGTAGCCGCCATTGCCAACAACTGAATCCTCTTGAATACCTCTGCAAAAATCCAACATAAAATGAATCCAGAGTCGGAGATAATTACACATGTTGTCAGGTCAAAATCAATCGGATAAAAAACCCAAATTCTACTCCCCTAAATAAAGTTAAAAATATCACCAAAATTACATAAAAATATAAGAGATTAGAAAAAAAACATATGTAAATGAGATTTTTCTTCGGGCTAATTCATGAATTCCACTTTAATACCTTAAATCAGATTTTCTTTTAATCTCAATATCAAAATGATAATTTGGCATAAATCAGACAACAACCCATAATTAAGAAACATCATAAAACGACATAACTAACAAACAGCATCATACACTGACAATTTGGAGATTAATCATTAATTAATCTAATAAATGAATTTTAAATTATAAGAGTGTGCATTATAAAGCGTACCAGAGAGACGATCGCCGAAGAAGATCGGAGAAAAAATCCGAGAGAGAGGGGGAGGGGGTTAGGGATTGGACGTTGAAGAGGAAAGAGGAGAATATTTGGGAGATAAGTGAGGGATTGGAGGATTTGTCGCTCGTCAAGTGGCTTCTCTGTCACTTGACATCATTCAGCTGACGTGTCATTTTGAGTTGGGAAAAGCTTGGTTGACAACATGTTGTAAATAAATAGTTCAGACAAGATGACATGGCATGCTTGTAAAATTGGAGAAGAATTCATGGGTGGGGTGTGATCGTGTTTTCATAATTCTTTTTTAAAATATTTTTATTAAAAATATATTAAAATTATATTTTTTTTTATTTTTATAATTTATTATTAACATCAACATATTAAAATAATCTAAAAATATTAATTTAAAATAAATAAATAAAATTACTATTTTTAAAATATTTTTATTAAAAATATATTAAAATAATATTTTTGTAGTATTTTTTATTTTTTAATGTATTGATGTTAATAATAAATTATAAAAAACAAAAAAAAGAACACCTAGAAAGACTATTTTGGGTTATTGTAAGTTATCATACATGCCATCCGAAGATGGCATGATGTATTAATTTAAAGTAAATAAAAAAATTATTGTTTTAAAAATATTTTTGAAATGTAAAACAAATATGATAAATTGTTTTAATAGTTAGGTTGAATTAAGTTTTTTAAAAATATTAAAATAATATTTTTTTAGTATTTTTTTATTTTTTAATATGTTGATGTTAATAATAAATTATAAAAATAAAAAAAAATATAATTTTAATATATTTTCATACGAAAAACATTTTAAAAGGTAATATTTATCCTACTTTCAAACTTGAACTAATTGAAAGAAACATTTTGAAAATAATTTTTAAATTTCAACTAAAAAAATATTAATTAATTAAAAAAATAAATTGAAAAGTTATTATGAATTTTTTGATAGATAAACATGCAATTCAAGGAACACCTAGAAAGACTATTTTAGGTTATTGTAAGTTATCATACATACCATCCGAAGATGGCATGATAGCTTAGAGGCATGCTCTAGCTATTTTTTTTATATATTAATTAAACTACTAAATTGTATCTAAATACACCTGTTAATAATTAAAAAAAAACTGACGTAAAAGCAAAAAAAGCCCAAGCCCTATTTAAAAAATTTTAAATCCAAAGGCAATATGGTAATTTTATTGTGCGTGGAATTCAAAAAAATCCTTTACAAGGCAGATGAATGGAGAGCGATGTATGGACCTGCAATCCTCGTTCTTATCGCAAACCTATTCCCAAGCTCCTGTATGGATGCTGCAAATCTCAGTGCATGGAATGCAACCTGCAATTCACAGGACATTTCCATCAAAAGAAAAGTTTGGCAGTTTTCGTGGTATTTATAATTTGGAAATTCTCTGTTACCTTGCATCGCAGCTTCTGCAGATCGAGTGGAAGATTCTTGGAAAGTTTGGAGTCTAATTCTTCTAGGATAAGCAGACTTTCTTCATTCAGATACATAAACAATTAAGAAAGTAGAAGAAGAGAAAATTTTCTCTCTACTGGGATTCTGAAGAAGCGTTAGAAAACAACCTCAAAGGCATCCAGGGAGATGGTTCCTCTACCACGTTACAATTTCAGCTGTGGTAGATACAGATTCATGTTAAACTTGAAAATGCACAAAATCTTGGCATCTATTCGAGCATGAACTTCTGATTCAGCCTTTTAAGCTCATAGCTGTTTCTAATGGGACCAAAATGCACAAAAAGTTAACATCTATTCTAACAGAAACTTGTGGTTCAGCTTCTTAAAAATATAGCTGTTTCTAACCGGAAACTCAGCTATCATGATTTAATGCAATGATAAAAGACTGAGCATTTGTTAATAAAAGAAAAGCGCACCAAGAGTTATACTCTGCCATTACCACTCTGTAAAACCTGGCACGGCTCCAATTTGGTGAGACATCACAAGGAATTTGGTTTTCTATGGATTGCCTTGGCATCAAATGTTCGGAGGGAAGGGATGATACAAACCGTACATCAACTCGTAAAACTCTCTTGAAATGCTCAGCATTGAAAATCTCCGAGAATTCACCGAGATCTTGGAAAACATACAGGATCATAGGAAAACTCAAACATTTTTTATTCACAGGGATATAGACATAACTGGCAGGCCGAGAACTTAATACCCAAATAGCTCTGATGGTCATTAATTGTTACAGATGCCAAATCATCATTTATCACAGAAATACATTCACAGGGATATAGAGACTCTTTTGAAGAAAAGAAAACACTTCCCAGATACTTGATTTTTGATAGAATTTCATAAAAAAGTGCTCCAGTGAAAAAAACTTCTAGAAATGACTGTAACATAATCAACAAAGAAAGCAGGTGCTCATCAATTTCTTATTAAAGCAAGCAATTATCAACGTCCTAAGGACCTATATAACACACAGAAATCTTGAACATTCTTTGAAGTTACCTCTCATCACCCCAAATTGGATAACCTTCAAAACGGGCGCAACCAAAGGTGCTTCAAGATTTCTTGCAATAACAACAGCATAAGCAATCTGATTCCTCTGATGGTTCAGTCCCCCCGGGGCTACCACCACCAAGAACAACCTCCTCTCCTTCGCAATTCTCGCAGATGACTTTCGATACTTGAGACTAAAATGCAAGTATGGCTTGTACCCTTCTCCATCTGGTTGCCCCTAGAAACCTCTCTCCTCTTTCGACACATTGCCAGTAACTGTCAGCAGTGGTAATGGCGCCATTAAACTCTTTGCCATTCTTGGCTCGTCCTCCACATTCTTGGGAACAAAAGAGGAAGGGAGATCAAAAGCATTGATGAAATGGACATAGAAGGAATGAAAGTGAATCTTGAGAAATGGTTGTGAAGCAAAGAATGGAAACTCCTAAGAGAGAGAAGGAAACAAGACGTGAGATTAAGCATAGAATTGGTGGTGCTAAGAGCCTGTTATAGTTTCTTGGGATTTTTTAGGAGAGAAAAGAAGAGAAGTGAATGGAGAGGCAGTCAGCAAGTAATAAACTGGCGATGGGGTCGCTGTACGGAAATGATTCCTGATGTTTCTTGATTTCCCCACTCAAGCTTTAATTTTCTTGTGTTTCTTTGCAACTTGGAATTTTTCTTCTTTGTGTGAGTTCTTTCTTTGATTCTTGAATCAGACTGGCGAGGGAAAACTGAGGTGAGAAGACTAGGATGCCTCCTGTTTATCGTGGGATTGAGGATACCAGAAAGGGTCTTTTGGGCATTCTATTATTGGGTGGTTAGATTCAGTTGATTTTCGCGGGCAAATTAGGGCTACAGCAGTAGAGTCTACTGGATTATTTTGCATGCAGCCGAAACACTTTTAAAAAAATTAAATGATTACACGTCCAACGATAAAATCAAGATGAAGAAGATAGAAAAGAAAGGGAAAAAAAATAATCCAACACTAAACCGAAAGAAATCACCATGCACGTGCCATTTAGGATGGAAAAGGACATCATGATTAATTAAATGATTCAACGGCCATTGGAGTTTGCCCAAAGACAATAGAGTGGAACGCACGTGCCAACATTTTTTTCTTTTATATTTTATTTTGAAAAAGACAAAAATTCCCCCAAGATTAAATGATAATAACAAAAAAAATATTTAAAATTACTTATAAGATCATGAAGTCAAAGTTATTTTTTTATATATAATAATAAGAGTAATTGAGTTACTACATTGTTTATATTTTTTTTTAACTTTTAAGAGCAATACAATAATTTTACTATTAAAAAAATTAGAAAATATAGAGCTACATTCGAATAAATAAATAGGTTATATAACATGGATGATTCTATTCTTCATTCCACTTATTTTACACACTGAATAGATTGTTAAATATATTTAAGATAGGGTATCTTTTCATTATTACTTTGGATGAAGGGTAATGGAAAAATTGGTGCTGTAATTACAAAATATAGGTTATGTATTTTGCTGTAGCAATCCATATTCATCATAAGTTTTTTTTCCATTTTTTATTTATTTTCAATTGCAGTCTTCTATGCCCAAATTAAAGATAAATTCCTTTAAAATAATTAAAAAAAAAGATAAAAATATTAAAAGAGAACTAAAGTGTAAAACAAAAGGAAATATCATGATCAATCTTAAATTCACTAAAGAATATTATGTTTAGTTCACTTACTTTCCCTTCTCTTACTCTACATTGCTTTTAGTTTTTGAAATTTTAATTTTAATCCAAAAATATATTTTTAACATTTCAGTTTTTGAATTTGATAAATGAATGAAAAAGTCATTTAAGAATAATAAATAAAAAAAAGTTGGTGAACAACAACTACTTAACTATGAAACTTATTTTTCCTGATGTTAATAGATTTGTTTGAGTACGATGAATGTAAAGGAATTGGTGAATGACAACTTCTTAACTATGAAACTTATTATTTTTTATATTAACATGTTTTATTTGATAATGAGGGTTCCATTAAATTATTTTTAAACCTTTATATTATCTAAAAAAAATAGATTAAGGTTGAGAGATGAATTTTTTTTTCTGATTTAATTTTGTATTTTTTGATTTTTTAGGTTATTAAATTGGTTTTTTAGGTTGTAAAAGTATTTATTAAATGTTTTTAGGTAAAGATAAATTGAAAAAAAAAAGATTTTGAGGCCAAGAAAACTACTCCTAATTAACAGGCCACCTATATAATGGCTGGTTTTTGGGCGGGCATACAATACGTTATATGCTTCTCTTATTTTAAGAAAAAAAAGGTCAGGTCAGGGCAAGCGTTATGGCTTAGACTAGCGGGTGCATGCACCTGAACTTTCTTTAAAAGGCCCTCACGCATTAGGCCACCAAAGCCTGCATGTTTGTTCTCTTCTTTTTTTTTTTTTAGTTTTTTTTTTAATTTTATTTTTAAATATTTGGTTGATTGTAAATTAAGCTTTATAATTTATTTATATTTATTTTTTATAGAATTATAATTATTTTAAAAACAATTCTAGCATTAAGTTCATACTCAATTTTACAATTATTTATTTGTGGTATCATATAATTAAATAAAAGATAATTTTTTAAAAAAGAATAGAGTTATTAAACTCATTAGAATCTATGACTCAAAT